CTATCTTTACAAAAAATTTTAAAACTAGCTGGGCATGGTGGCATGTGCCTGTAGTCCTGGCTACTCAGGAAGCTGACTGGAAGATGGCTTGAACCCAGTATGTCGAGGCTGCAGTGGGACATGGTTGTACCATTGCACTCCAGCCTGGTGACACAGTGAGACCCTGTCTCAAAAAAAAAAAAAAAGAAAGAAAAAAAGAAAAACCTTGGAATCTTACATTTGAATTCGAAGTCAGTAAAACTTTTTCCTTTAAAGAAAAACATTTCCTAGTCTATCTATTGCAAAGGCCCAGAAACACCTATAACCCCAGTCAGTACCCAGACCTATATAGACACATATGGTGTTTTTTCCTATAAAGTAACAAGTGGGTAGCATATCCAGTGTGGACATGCTGAACAAAGAGATGAAGGCCGGGTGCGGTGGCTCAACGCCTGTAATCCCAACACTTGGGGAGGCCGGGGTGGGCTGATCACCTGAAGTCAGGAGTTTGAGACCAGCCTGGCCAATATGGTGAAACCCCATCTCTATTAAAAATACAAAAATTAGCCAGGCGTGGTGGCAGGCACCTGTAGTCCCAGCTACTCAGGAGGCTGAGGCACAACTCTCTTGAACCCGGGAGGTAGAGGCTGCAGTAAGCTGAGATCACGCTACTGCACTCCAGCCTGGGTGAAACAGAGCGAGACTCCATCTCAAAAATAAAGGGATGATTCCTGTCCCACCCAGGACAGAGCAGGACCGTGGGAGATTTTATCATGCCACTCACAATGGTGCACAATTTAAAACTTACAAAGTGCCTATTTCTGTTACTTTCATTTAATGTTTTTGAACCATGGTTGACCCAAGAGTGACCGAAACCAAGGAAAAAGCAAAACCGCAGGTAAGGGGGGTATTTACTATACTATTCTGTTTTTGCCTAAGTCTTGAAATCCCCATAATGAAAGGATTTTTTTGTTGTTGTTTTGTTTTTTTAAGTAGCTGAAACAAAGATAAAATTGTTCACTAAAATGAGATATTAAGTCCCTTGGAATGAACTAAAGGCCTACACGTGAAAAATATTACAAATCTTAAATCAGTGGAGATACAGTTATCCCATGCTGGAAGAAATGAGTCAAAATACCAATGGGTAATTATTTTTTTCCTGATTTTTAAAAATATACATGACTTGTAACCCAGAAATTATAATGCTAAGAATTTCTTAGAATAACCTGAACATTGTGCAAGACTATTCAGTAATACTGGGTTAAATATATTTGTGATAGCCATAGAGTGGTACAGTCTGCAGCAATTCAAATGATCTATTTATTGACATGAAAATGTTCAAGGTAAGTGAAAAGGAGTTATATAATCATAATTCTGTATTTGTTAATAACAAGTTGTATACACATGCAAGCCTGTACATGTATTCACATATCCATGAAGGGGGAAGGCCAGGATATATGCCCAATTTTTTCTTTTGAGACAGAGTCTCAGGCTGTAGTACAGTGGTACATTGCTCACTGCAACGTCCGCTTCCAGCTGAAGTGATTCTCCTGCTTCAGCCTCCTCAGTAGCTGGGATTACAGGTGCCCACCAGCACACCCAGCTAATTTTTGTAAGTTTAGTAGAGATGGGGTTTCACCATGTTGGTCATGCTGATCTGGAACTCCTGACCTCAAGTCATTGGTCCGACTCAGTCTCCCAATGTGCTGGGATTACAGGTGTGAGCCACCATGCCCAACCCAAATGTTAGTTACGAGGTATTATTAACTCCAGGTGGTGAATGTGCAGAATGATTACCTTTTATCAGCATTTTATTTTTATACTACGAACACCTATTACTGACATAATTAAAGAAAAATATAAGGGGATAGGGTGGCAGTGTGGGATCAGACTTGATGATCTCATGAGGATGGGGTGTGTTGGGAGGCCATGGAAGGGCAGTGGTAAGGCTGCCCAGTGTGTTCTTAAAGTACGTACTTCCAAGAACTGTCTATGTTGCTTCTCCTGGCACTTTCCCAAGTGTGTTCCATAAAATAGTTCCACAGGTGTCTCATAGAAAAGGGTTCAATGTCCAAGTTTTGGGAAATGCTAGCTCAAAACAACTCATTCATACAAAACGTATAATGTTTGCTATGCATTCCCAGGAGGAAGGGACATGGTATGCATATTCATTGGGCCACAGACCCTTTGCTTTATATCCTTAAAGAAATAGAACTGGGGTCTTGCCATCTTGCCCAAACTAGTCTGGAACTCCTGGGCTCAAGCAATTCTCCTGCCTTAGTGGCCCTTCAAAGTGCTGGGATTACATATTCTTTATACAAGTTACAAGACTTACGCTTAACACATTTTAGGAAATGCCCATTTAAGGACCTAAAGATTAAGGATGTAAAGCTGGGTGTGGTGGCTCACGCCTGTAATCTCAGCACTTTGAGGCCGAAGTGGGCGGATCACCTGAGGTTGGGAGTTCAAGACCAGCCTGACCAACACGGAGAAACACCGTCTCTACTAAAAATACAAAATTAGCCACGTGTGATGGCGCATGCCTGTAGTCCCAGCTACTTGGGAGGCTGAGGCAGGAGAATCGCTTGAACCCAGGAGGCGGAGATTGCAGTGAGCCAAGATCCGGCCACTGCACTCCAGCCTGGGCAACAAGAGCAAAACTTGGTCTCAAAAAAAAACAAAAGATTAAGGATTGTTTATACCACATATTTCCAGCAAGGGTCTGAAAGCTTCTAGCCCATTTTCCTAGATTTAGATGGAGTCATCTGAAAACAGCCTCACATTTATAATATGGTTTTTGTTTTTGCTTTTTGGTCTCAAACTTTATGGTTTTAAACATAATTTGCATCTTGCGATCAGGTCACTTAGAGCAGTGTTTTCCTTCTCTGCATTATCTGTCCATTAGTGGGCAGAGAAATCAACTTGGTGGTCACAACCTGAATTTTTTTAAAAACTGAAATAAAACTATCAGAATATAGTAAGGATAAGTATTACTTCACAAAAGTGTATGTGACAATTTTGTGTCCATAATCACACTATGTGTGTGTGTGTGTGTTCACAACATAAAATACATTTATTCCAATGAGTTGCAATTAAAAAAAAGTGAAAGCCACTGAATTAAAGAGATGAATTTATTGGTAAATAGAGAAAAGCAACACCTATTCCAATATATCCAAACCCCTTCCTGTATATATTAGGTAAATTAAAAGAAAAAAAATTGTCAAAGCAATAATATAGCCAGCTAGATCACCAGTTTACAAATATGTACCATAAGTTTGTTTGAAGATCAGGTACTTGGCAGTTTTTCTCAAAGAAATGGTTATAAAAGAGATTAGGTTCCAATTAGTTAACAAAAGCCAATTTAAACAATGTAGCTTAACTACAGTACTAAGGTTGTCACAAACTTAACTTGCTGTCAGTTGCTTATTTACTCACATCTGAGGTTCACTGTTTCTACTAGGATACATTATCCCCACATCCACACCCTGGTCCAACATCAGGCAGCTTCTCACAGTGCAGGCAAGCATCCACTATCAGACATGTTGTGCTTAGGATCTCAGAGGAGGAAAAACTCACAGGTTCTAATAGCATTGGGTAACAGGTAGAATATGGGGCTCCCAGGAACATCTTCCATATGCCCCAAATCTGTTTCCCTCCTACCCCAATCCAGCTCTGTTCAAGGTCAAGCTTGAGAAAGATACTTGCTCTCAACAGTATATTTTAAAAATCGACATCAATTTTTAAGAGGCTACTAAAAAATAGTAATGGCCAGGCGCGGTGGCTCACGCCTGTAATCCCAGCACTTTGGGAGGCCGAGGCAGGTGGATCACCTGAGGTTGGGAGTTCAAGACCAGCCTGACCAACATGGTGAAACCCTGTCTCTACTAAAAATACAAAATTAACCGGGCGTGGTGGTGGGCGCCTGTAATCCCAGCTACTCGGGAGGCTGAGGCAGGAGAACTGCTGGAACCCAGGGGACAGAGGTTGCAGTGAGCCAGGATTGAGCCATTGCACTCCAGCCTGGGCAACAAGAGCAAAACTGTCTCAAACACACACACACACACACACACACACACACACACACACACACACACACACACACGCTTTAATGGTGATAATTTGCTATTAATAAATTCAGTAGCTGTTTTTTCGCCTGAACACTTTAATAAACTTTTAGATCCAAATAAATTGTTTGGCTCTAAAAAGCTGTTATTCCTAACACGCTGCTGCTTTGTGCCCACGGAGACACGTTAATGCCTCGAGAAGCATGGCCTGTGGTCTCCCCCAGGAAATTCAGGAACTCAGGGTCAAGCAGAAGCCATGCTAGAGAGCTCATCACTCTGCTCTTCCCAATTTCATTATGTCCTGGAAGACCTGAGAACCATCCGGAAGAGTGTACAGTAATGGAGAGCTCAGTGAGAAATGCTCTTAAGCAGCCCCTTGAATAATACATTAAGCCCCAGCATCATTCATTTGGGCGGAATACAAACTGCCATTCCTAACAACAGGACTTACCTAGCATGCACTCAATCTTAACTGAGGTACCAAACTCTCAAGGGACATGCACAGGGCAAGCCAGGAGTCTGGCATAATGCTGACCTCGCAAACCTCTGGCCTTTTTGGCTGTGTGGTTGCCTGGTCCCAATACTCGCTGGCAGTGCCAGGAGCCCAGGGACAGGAGGCTGCAGGAAGGAGGCAGACGCAGCACAACCTGCTCCTGCTTTATCACCCAACCACATGGCCTCTGGCTGACCATCAAGTAGGCCCAGCATTTTCAACCCATATCGCAGGTCCCATGTCCTCAGCCAGGAGTTTTACAAGTCTCCTCAGGAAAAACTGGCTGCAATAGCTACAGCCAGTATCCCTCTGGGACCAGCAGCCTGCGCACTCCGCGTGGCAGGCATGCAGATCCATAGGGAACGCATGCCCAGTTTTTCCAGTTTTACCTCTCACTGTCATGAACCGGAACAAGTTTGGGAGGCTTAAGTAGGGAGAGGGTTAGAAATCATTTCAGCATATACTTTTTGGGTTCTGCCAGACAACCTTTTATTACATCAGAAAAGCAACACTAGGCACTAGATCTTGCAAAATATGTTCTGACCAACTCTAAACTTTCTGAAATTATAACCACATCAGTAAGGTTTTTAATGAACGAAAAAGTTAAATACAAACTTTCATATGCAAAATAGATTACTGTGTAACTGGCAACCTCAGAGCCAAGTACATTTTCTTCTACAACTTTCAGTGGGGATGGAGTGGGGAGATGTTAGTCTCATTGAGTAGAAAACTTAATTTAGGCTCAATATATAGAAAACAAAAACTCTGAGGAAAAATAGCTTTAAATTGAATAGTATCTTTTGAAATAAACAGCTCAGGCCAGCCCCTACAATTCTGAGGTTTATACTCAACCAGATCTGGGATGAAAATGAAGATTTAGGGTTTACAGTTACTTCAAATCCATGAATCCAGTTTCAAGACTAAGCCAAGTCACCTCATTTCCAGAAAGGGAAGTCACTGTAAGATGACCACAACACTCTTCTGAAGATGCTTGGGTAGTCAGAGTTCCTTGGGCACAGTTCCTCGGCTCCATGGCACTGTGCCAACGCTGTAGTGTCAGACTTCCTCTGAAAGGCAATGGGAGCCCTATCCCACAGCATTTTTGCTTCTCCCAGCATTTTTGAGCCTCAAAAAAACAAAAACAAAAACAAATCCCAAACCCTCCAGCTTCATGTTGGCAGTTAGTGCTCCAGCTCCACTTCCGCCCCCAGTGAGATTTCTCTCCTGGTCTTCAGCAGGGAGTGGCAGCTTGAGTAACATTCCTTTCAGAAATAAATAGTTCAAACAAGTAATTTAGAGCTAACTATAAAAGAGCAGCAGTAAATAGCCACTGCCCATTATGTTTGCAAACGAATGAGTGAATGAATACGCTGAACAAACACACAGAAAAAAACAATTCACAGAATAAATCCTGCATTTCCCACATTCATAGGGAAAAGAATTTTTCTTAAAAAAAATATTAGCGTTTGTTCTTGTGTGGGTCGAACAGTCCAAAGCTCTGAGCAGGCACAGCCTTACAAACAGGATTGCAAGCAGCCCTCTGCACCCCAACTCAGGACTAGGGTGCAGCGAGAGGCCTTCATGCACTTTTGACAGCTCAGTACCTGTGAGAGAACAGAAGTGATGCAGGAACTTTTTAACCCACAATGCATGAGGTATATGGAAATGTCTGTGAAAGAACCACCAGCAGCTAGAGGGACCAGGCAAAGTTTTCCTCACAGTAACTGCTGATGAAGGATTTCCCACACCATCTTCTTCCGGAAGAGAGGCATCTGGTGCTGCAAAGATTCCCATAAACAAAACACACATTACACATGAATGTACATGCCATCATGTCCATAAAGTAGGATGTCCATGTCCTTTTTCTAAGCATTGACATTTTTACATCATGGAACATACTTATTAAACCATTAAAAAGGAGGTTTAGGCCAGGTGTGGTGGCTCACACCTGTAATCCCAGCACTTTGGGAGGCCCAGGCGGGCGAGTCACAAAGTCAGGAGTTTGAGACCAGCCTGGCCAACATGGTGAAACCCTGTCTTTACTAAAAACACAAAAAATTAGCTGGGCGTGATGGCAAGTGTCTGTAATCTCAGCTACTCGGGAGGCTGAGGCAGGAGAATCACTTGAACCTGGGAGGTGGAGGTTGCAGTGAGCTGAGATGGCACCACTGCACTCCAGCCTCGGTGGCAGTGCAAGACTCCATATT